AGCCTCCCGCCAGCTGTGAGCCTGCTGGGTGCATTTGATACAAAAGGTTTTTTCTGCCAAATGAAGGGGCAGTAATCATGCCCTCCACTCTTTCTCCGCAACATTGCTCCCCCACCACCTCCCCCCGCCCCCTCCTTCTTCAAGGATAGGCTGGTACAAAAGGCAAACTCATTAGATTTAAATTCGGTAAAAACGTACATAAATAAGTAGTTCAACTTACACACGTATATTTCATTTCTTAAGTATAGGGCTCCCAAGTGGTTTTCGATACTTACTCCAACTCGGCAATATTCTGTTTTTCCAGGGTTTGAGATCAGACCAGTTAATTTACAGTTCAGAAACGTGGAAACTGCGATGTATCCATGATGCTTTGGGATGGGACACTGTAATTGCGACTCGATAGTAACGTCTGGGTAGACCACGATTCCACTTTTTGGCCTTGACAAAGTTAGCGTGATATTTGACTAGATAACAAGGATTTCAAGCGTGAAGGCAGTTTTAAGCACAGCGTTCTACACAATGCTGCTGTCACACAAATTACGAGAAAAAGACTATCTAATGGCAACGGGAAATTTGTAAAATAAACTTCTTTCGCGATGATTTAGTTGCAATAATTACAAGAAAATTCCAAAATGGGGAAAACTTGCCTCAGTGTCAAAACGGTTTCCACAGATGCATCAAATTCGGAGAACGAAAAAAATTGATCTCAAATGAATTTTGAATACAGTCGCATAGTTTTTCAGCTTACGCCTTAATATTGAAAAAGTTATAAACAGTCAAAGTCAGTGCGGGGATCGACTCCTTTCATTGTCACCAAAAAAATGACTATTTTACCGATGTCACGCTCTATCACCAATTCTTCGAATTTTTCATATAAACCAAGAGACTTGTACAAACATAACACTGCCTCGGTAGATCAATTTGTCATGCCGAATTCAGTCGTATATATGAGAAGTTTCATAACAATCCGTTGCAGAGTCATGGAAATATGGGACCTCAAACTTGCCAATTTTTATAGAGAAATGTATGCTAGGGGGCAACACTTGCCCACTCGCATACATTTATATTTAAATATTGGCAAGTTTTGGGCCCAATATTTTTAGAGTTTGCAACGGCTTCGCGTATATATTTATTACTAAATTTGGCGCGATCAATAGAGCGAGGTAGGGCTTACTTTTGTTTGAATTAATACTGAATCGGAAAAGCGTGACATCGGTTCAAAGGTCTCTTGAAGCACTACTCCTACGAACAAAAAAAAATATCTCAATAAAGTACCACTCAGTATCATTCATATTAATAATCACTAATACGCTACAGTTTCATCAACACATTTTAAAACTACAGCTCCTGGTAACGGTGAAAACATAGGTCGAGCCGCTTGACTCTATTGCAGATAGTATAGCAGGACTGTCTACATGTTTGTTGGATGCTAACTAACACTTCGACTCTCTTATGTGGCTTATGAGTTCTTATCTTTACAGCATACCTTATTTTGCTCGTTCAGAGAGCTTTCATAGCATCCTAGCTAATTAAAGACGAAGTACGTTTACAATCTACAGCAGTACTCTTGGTAACGGATTCGCATTTATCATCATGTCTTGGTAACGGAGGTTACATCTCTTGCAAGTATCTACTCAGTGGTTCTCCGGTACGAAGGTGTGCTTCGTAAGCTTCCAGCCATATCAATCCTTTCATAATAACCTGATATAGTGTGTTGTCATCGCGCCACAAGTTTGGTCGAAAGTGGCAGATAATAGTAAGACCATCTCTGGTCCCGTAGGTGTGATCTGTTCCACAAGCCTGGTTCAGCAATCCACCATATTTCTTTGGTAAACAAGATGAGGGAGAACTCACAACCATCTGCGGACAAGAATTCGGGTAATCTGAAGGAAGATAAACTCTGAGTGTGTACTGTTTGTCGTTGGTGCAAGTTACTCTGACTTCAACCCTTGTATCGCCAGTTGGATTGATCCATGAAACCCTGTCATGGAAGTACTTCTCCAGTAGTTCTTTCTCGAAACTGAGCCTTTGCCGCTGCGTTACTGACCACGGCATGACGAGAAGACAACCGTGGTTTGAAAGATGACTCGCAGAACTTGTAAAACGAAAAGAATTCGCGAAATTATACACATTCAGTGGTTTAACTAACCTTCGTTGTTTTTTTCGCCTACTAATAATATTCCCACTTTCCCGGAAATTGGAGCATGCGTAGTCGACGGATTGTTCTAAAAATAAACTGCCGTAATTGAACACTGAAACGCCGGTAACGCTACACTTACACTTCTAGTTTTTGAATTTAGATTTTTTTTATCTGGAGAGAATAAGTAAATGTATTAATGACAACAATGAATCGAAGCCGATTTAGAAATACTTAAAAAAATTCAAACTTGTCTTCGAGACTTAAGGGAATGAAACAAAATAAATTCATTATTCTTCCCTCAACCTCGATGTGATTTCTTTTGAATTATTCCCGTAAACCTCAGAGCCAAGTTAGAATTTTAATATATCGAATAACGAAATATTAACCTATTAAAATCAAGCAGTTTTATGTAATTACTTAAAGGAACATGAAATTTACGCTCTCGCTGCTGATTACTGATCTGGTAGATTTGCAAAAACAGGTGCAATGTTGGGGCTCAATAAGATGGATTACCCTGCAATTTCTTCTGTTTGGAAAATAATCCAAGACGAGTCATTGAAATTCTAACATTTCTATGAATTAATATTTCACGAAGGTCGTGAGAGTTTCTCAGAAAAACCGGTGGTTATTGATCTGTTAAGTATGCATGAATGATTTCAAGGAAAACAGTCTTTTTAATTCGATCAAATAAGTTCTTGTTCTTTCATAAAAGTCAGATTGCTACCAAACCTACCTGCTACTTCTTCTTTATTCTATGTAACACATCTTAGTTTCCATCCCGAAGGAAAAATCATGAACAACAAGCAGACCAATAGAATATTCATATTGCGTGACTAACCTGAGCAGTGAGTTTTCCTTTGTTACTATACCCATTTTTTGGTACTGCCCGTCTTGGTAGAAAAACAAATGTGCTAGTATTACCCAAAAGGTTTAAAGACAGTTCTTCCTCTTTATATGTATATATCTAAAGAACAATTAGACTACATTTAACTGCCATTAGTGAAACAAGTTACAAAGTATGACTTCGTGTAAACAATGACAAAAAAATAATCCTATTGCTACAATGACAGAAAATTAAAGCACAGGTAATGTTCTGACTGATTTACATGATGTAACCGTCGACCAGCTAATTAATTTGGCACAAGAGCTGAGATGCTAGCTGATAATTCACCTACATAGTTGCTTTCATCGTCTTGCTCCGTTACATATACGGTTAATCTTAATTTTATGCATCTATATGCTTCATCGATTCGTACTGTGCACTTCGCAGCATATTTTCGATTGGCTGGATGAAAATAACGTCAGTTCATTTCGCTCAGATAAGT